CATATGTACTGTATATATCTGTGTATGTGGTTTACATACTCTCACTCTGGAAACCTCATGCCTCCATACGTTCTGTTTCTATGAGATGAGAGCCGGTCAGTGAAACCGATCGATTAATGTTTAAACATGTACAGACTGTCCATGTTGTTATAACATTGTATTGTCGTTGTTCATCTTGCTTTAATCTTTTTTTAACGTCAATAATACGGTGAGATACATATTTCTTATCCTGCAGACACCTCCCATTTCACATGAATCAAGAAATGACATGGATAACGTACATAATTTAATTTGTTATATCCAAAGTTAATTCTGTATTTTCTGTAATGTCAATATCTAAATACTGTCCAGTACAATTTTGCAATATATTATTTGTTTAAGAACGGTACGATGACACTCATTCCATGACACTCCTGCAGAATTTAGTTCAGAAAGCTTTTTTTAGCCAGCAGATGGCGCTTTTTTCTTTGCATGTGATAGAACTTTGACATTCTTTGCATGGAGTCTGTTCCTCTGAGGGTCAAATTTACTTTACAAATTGGCACATTTCAAGTTATTAGTGCACATACCGATAGGGGAGGCTACTATCAGAGTGGCTGCTTGATGCATTAATTTTGTTTGTTACTATTATCAATTTTAAACTGTAAGCATCCCTTTTAAACGTGATTGTTTTCAATACAGGTGGCAGGATAACTGCTGTATAACTGCATTTGTGTGATGCTTTCAAGAACAAGCAAATGTATACCTTTTCTTTTTAATCTAAAGTGGGATAAAAAAAAACTGAAACCTCTGCATATTGTAAAACAAAATCCAGCCATGTTGTAACATTATCTTGTTGTGCTGCCCCATTAAATGTAAGTGTATCCACAGTATCATTTTGTCCTATTGCAGATTTTGACACTCCAGTCTCAGGACAGGCAGGATTTCACTCAGTGCTGCTGCATCTGTGTGTTTCAGGTGAATAGTGCACCACCAATGTTTCCTGGAAGTAGCCCTTACAAAAAGTATTGTTGGGTAGCTGTTTTAATTGATAAAACCATGGTATTGTCATTTTTCATTAGTTTAAACACTTTTTTTTTTTTTTTTTTTTTTTAATATAGAAAATTACTGATGAATATTTACTTGAAGTACTTCTGGAGATTGTATGTTAATATTTCAGTAACACACTTGAATGTTAACAGTTCAGTGTTCACTGATGTTGGTTAATGCTCACATGACTAGATAAAACATAACTAGGTAAAATATTTAATTGGGGGGTTTTTTAGCAAGTGTGATGAGATATTTTAAAATATGTATATAGGCATGCTGCATGCATGACACATGTATTGCAATTATTTTGTTATATTTTTTGGTTTAAACTGCAATACTATTGACACTAGCTGGTCTTTAAAGTAGCCTAGTTTCTAACCTCTTTTTAGTTGTGCTGTCCACATTACATTCACACTGGTGTTTCTAGAAACCCAATCAAATATAATAACAGTTAAGGCCTAGGCTACTATTAGTTTTATCTGTAGCCTAATTATGAAAATGTAAGACAAATTGTTACAAAAGTGTTAGCCGTAATCATTCACCATGTTGTGGGACTTCATTGAGCTGTGACATCCAATATAGGCTATATTGTATCCTTTTCAAAACTTCAGAATTGTTAAACAATATTTAGTAAAAATAATAATTATATATGTAGCCTATTAACATAAGTGTTACAATGTGTTTGAGGGTGGGGACACTTTCGCGGGATGATCCTGGTCTTAAACTGACAGTTAATCGGAGGTTGCATGAATTAACCAACGTCAGTCTAATGTTCCTGGAGCGCGGTCCGTTTTGTGCGTGGCTGACCCGGTACCTCCAGTGGGACCGCGCCGTCCTGCCCGGGAGTGCGCGCTCAATAATGCATGCACGTCATTAGAAACCGGAGAGGGCCGGTGTATTGCCCTTATTTCCTGGGAAACGCTAGTCAGGACTCGGCCTCACCTCACGTTACACAGAAATCATCTTCGAACATAGGGACGTGTGGCTGTTTTCCCGCCTCCTGCACGAATGGTTGTATTTTTTCATGCAGTTGTAAGTTTTGCTAAGTTTTATCTGGGTTACTATTAGCACCGAGCGGTGTCACTTCTGCTTGACCCAGAAGCCCCGGCATTCATATTTTATTCAAACCGGGATTAACGGCGCTTACATCAGTGACGATGAACTCGAGGTTAATAACGGCTTAAACACCGCGCGACCTTTCAGTTTCTCAAGCGCGTGGGGGTTTGAAGTTCTCGCGCTATTTTATCGCAGACTTGTGCGGTGTTTTGTAAATAAAGTGTTTGAGATAGTTTGATATTTTAAATAGTCTGCAAATTACACGTTCATTGAGGCATTTCAGTCTACATTGTATACTGACAGAATGAAAAAATAGATATTTTTTACCCTTACAGAATTGTTTAAAATTAAAACATAGGGCTAGGCTACTATTGGAAAAGTAGGCTAAGTCAGGGAACGTCCATATGTGCAAGTGCATCATTTTTCAATTCGACTAATGATTTATACATTATCTTTGGCGTTAGGCAAGTTTGGGCTTGTTTAATGCAAGATTGGGCTTGACAGGTGCCTGGTCACCTTGCCACAGTCCACTGAATAAATTGTTAACATTCCTGTAGCTCAAACAGTAGGGCATTGCTCTAAGTGTGTTAAGCTTGAGAAATCTATTCAAGGATATACAATCACCTGATAGTGTATTCTGTCAAAAAGCTAATCTAAATGTAGGCCTATCACATATTCATTCCCATGGAACACAGGGTGAAGTGCCTCTTCATCAGTAGGTTGACGGGTAACAGTAAGATACCCCTGTAGCGTCTTTCCAATTAAGTCACGCAGGTGGTACATATTTGTTATTTTCTTCTATGGTGTGTTTAATTAAAGCAGAGACAGCTGGGATTGTCTTGGAGGTAATGGTAGCACCCTGGTAATGTCCAGACATTTCATTGGTGTATTTGAGGTCAGGCCACTGGTTGGTGATGTATTGCTGGACATGGTCATACTCTTGGACATGCAAGCCTGCACAGTTCAAATGAATGTCATTGCATTATATAGTAAAATGTTGTAAAGAAATTGAGCTTAAACACTTTTCAAAATAATTTCATAAAAAGAAGGTTGGTATGTTTCATATTTTAAAAACAATAGATTTAAAAAATATGAACAATTTGTAGTTGTCAAACGTTAGGATAACGTTTGTATTTGTCAAACTGATTTCTAAAGGATCATGTGACTGAAGACTGTTGTAATAATGATTGCTGAAAATTTTGCCTTGCATCACAGATTCAGAAATTGCATTTTAGAGTCATTTAAAATAAAAAACATTTATTTTAAATTGTAATAATATTTCACAAAACTTCTGGTTTTACTGTGTTTTTTTTTGTTCAAACAAATGCAGCCTTCTTTCAATAAAACCTTTTAAATGGTTTTGACCCTTTATGTCAAAGTGGGTTAAACGTATGTTTGCAAAAATGGCTAGAAAAGTAAATTCTGAGAAAAGAACAGCATTTGTTTGCAGATGCCACTTGGTTTTGATGTGTTGTTACCTAATGCAATCAAATTGAAAAAAGTTGGATTATTTATTTTCAGGGAGTTTAGTTGTCTAGAAGTTGGGGAACTATGTGGTTGCAAGTCTGAGAAGAGGCGCAGACATGCCACACTCACTTCGGATCAATCTCTCTCCAGCACATATCTATACACGCACACACAAAAGCCAAGCCCCCCTCAGCACCATATCATGTACCAAAACAAAGTGTTCATAATTCATGAGCTCCTCACCAGTTGAAAAGAGCGAAAGATTCCTTTACATGTTCATTATTCAAAACCCTTCTGGCCATTGGGGAGCAGCCATAACACAGTTGGTCATTTAACAAACACGTTACAAAACAGGCACACCTCAAATACTCAAACATTAGCCTAATTAGACGTTTACAATTATGCAAGCAGTCCAGAATTGTGTATCCTGTCAATTTATTTGTAACACAAGTTACAAGTAAAAAAAAAAAAAAAAAAAAAACGTACCAAAATTACATTTCCAGATTACTGAACAATAGTTTTCTACTTCATTGAATTCTAGGCGTCCGGTAAAATACTTAAATTATTATCTTCAATAAGCTGGCTTATCGATCCTCATCTTTTGGCACCGCCACCGACTGGCATAGTTGAGTGATGCCATTGAGATGCAATCATTCATAAAGCGAGAAACATGATAGGAGCTTAAGACCTACAATGGGCATCAGTCAAATCCCATCCAGACAATTAAGAGTAGTCAAATTGTCCTGGGACCGAGGGATCAGGGTGGGCAAGAGGGGAGGTAATGGGAAGAAGAGATGTTGACTGCTTTTTGAAGCAGATACCAATGTCGGCAATTGTGGCATAAAGTTACCACAAAAACAAAAAAAAACTGGAGAGAGAGGTACTTGCAATGAAAGTGATTGAATATAGGGTAAGAATTAATAGAACAAAAAAAAAACTATTAGAAATCACCATACTTTTGATTGATTAATCACATAACATTTCCGAAAACTTGTAATACAAAGCAATTGTCTTAATTTACTGTTTAAATACGGAAATGAGTTGTTATCTATTTAAATATCCTCTGATTTGCATACATTTCCAAAACAGAAACACTGGATAAAGCCAGATTCAACATTCTTATTTCATTTTGTTGATATACTGTGGGGATTTTGGATATCTCTTTTTTTTATCACTCCATAAACCAGTTTTTAGGAATAAAATGTTATATAAATCTACTGTAAAAACCTTCAGAATTAAGATAGAACTAAATGGAAAGTTTGAGCTCCTGAAGTGGAGATTTCTGGCTCAGTGCATCAGAAAAAATAACTCATTTAGAGAAAACAGCCTTTAAAGACGAGTATTGTACAGATGCAAATAAATAGAACTGTAATAAAATAAACATGTCCAGTAAATGTGTTACATAGATGTTTTCTTTCCACTAGTCTGAAATAAGACACGTTATGAAAGCAAAAAAGCCTAAAATCTTAAAGTTTTGCCTGTCTTGCCTTAGAGAAAATGAGAGATGAATGAAATTGATTAGTTTTGTGGTAATCAACATTAATTCACAAGTGCTGTCGAGCAAGCTTAATTTGTATTAAACCCGGAGTACTCCTTTTAAGAGAGCCTCAAATGTCACCCAAAATCCATTCGGAGTATTTCTGTCTTTTTGTCAGATTTGTTTTGTAAAGCAGACGGAAGCATTGGTAGGTTGAGGTCCGTGACTCGGCGCTGTATAGCCGTTCGCAACTGAATTGAGTTTCTTTTCGCTGTATTACTGGGGATGCCTGTCCCTCCTCCCCCTCCCGTTCCCACGTTCCTCTTCTCCTTTCCATGTCTCAGGTTTTTAATGACGAGAGCTTGTTGTCTTTGAGATGGAAACAGTGGCGGTTTGGACCCATTTACCAAGAAAGACGAGGAGCCTGTGCCAGCCGTTGTGTGGCGCGTCAAGCCTACCCAAGTGACTTTTCTAGGTGCGGATTCTTTAAGCGTCCCAGTGTGTCGTAGTCGCGGTAAAGGGGAGGTTTGTGTTGTGGTTTCCATGGCGCTGAGGTGGCGAGCATTGTAGGTTTTCTCCTCAATAGCCAGTAATAGATCCTTAAAGCGCTGTCCCGTTCTGGGAGAAGCCCCTTTCTCTGAGTAGAACGTCTGTAACTTCTCTAACTTGTCATCATGCTGATGTTCACAGTCCAGAGATTGATATTTGTCAGAGTAAGCCGGTCTCAGATCATGTGGTTTGATTGGCGTTTTCATTGTCTGGGAGTCTCTAGAGGTGTCTATGGTTACAGTGGCATCACAAGGGGCAGAGTCACAGAGTTTGGTGCCGCTCTCCTCTCTGCAGGAACACTTAGGGGGTGAGACACGAAGCATCTCCTTTTCACCAAACGTTGAGACTAAAATACACACATATACAAATTCGGTCAGCTGAATAAGCATTATGTGAATTTCAAAATTAAACAAAAGATTAAAGATTCATTCCTGCAGAACTCTACAATACTTTTGTGTCATTAGTGAGCACTTTTGGTTCCATTTTCCCAAAGTCAATGGGTTTTTTGAATGGGTCTTTGGTTAAATGCCTGAAACAAGATCTGTGGTTATCAAAAGCTCAAGATATTTTCATGTTTTATTCTATGACATAAAATACAACAGTAATAACTCACTTGTGATTTAAAAAAAAATCTTTGATGGAGGCAGTTGCTAACAAGTGACTGTTGTGTGGGCCATTAAACGTTATCACGGCGAACATGTTAACTCATCTACTCACTAGTTCGCTTCCACAGCCTCGATGTGTTTACACTCACACTCTTGCAAACTATTCTATCTCAAACTTGCGACCGTGGTGTAGTTTGTTTATACCTTAAAGCCCCGTTCACTCCAAGAACGATAAGTATAAAGATAACTATATTAGCGTCCACACCAGCAGACGATATCATTCTGTTTATTCCGAGTGCGTGCTTGTCTGTCACTTTAAATGCTCGAGCTTGTTACAGCAGGATGGATTCTGATTGGCTGTCTATGTTTTATCGTTCTTCAACTGATTCCAGTGATATCGTTTCTCTGTGCCGTTATCGTTATAGCTTTGGTGTAAACTCTGCTATTCTTTAATACTGAAAACGATTTTTAGAACTATATCCTTATCGTTATGTTTATAGTTATCATCCTTATGTGAACGGGCTTTAACTTTAGCTTTTTACTCCTGCCGATTGTATTTAGGGTTCAAAATTCATAAAACAATCTTAATGATCAAAATGTGTAGCCATTGTGAACTTTAGCACAGTGGTTCTCAAAGTGGGGTCCGCGGACCCCCTAGTGGTCCGTGAACTATGGCCAGGGGGTCCGCGAAATAATTTATAACAGCCTACCGTTTTTTCCGGACTATAAGTCGTGTTTTCTTTATCATCTGAAAACATGCTATTTATTCCAAAGTGACTTATATAATGCATTTAACGTCAAATAATACAAAGTAGACACTTAGGTTTCTAAATTATTTTTTTGTACAGAATAATCCTTGAAACATTTCTCATTTAAGGCCATTCCTGTTTGGAATATGTGATTGAGTTTTGATATAGCCTGTAAACAATAATCATATACATTCTGCATTTCCATTTGGATCATTCATTGTAAAATTTAAACTGTCATCTTGACAAAATAATGTATGCCACTGCCCACTGACATGCTTTTAAAGCTATAGTTATCCAATTTGTGGGCCTTAAAACACCTTAAAATGCACATGTGTAGATCAAGAACATCAAAAATCCCTCAGGGGGGCATGCCCCCCAACCCCCCTAGCAAGATCACTTTTGGGACCTCAGTAGGCTATTTAGAAATTCCTGCATAGGACCCTGGGTGGAGACCGCAATTGTGCAAAAATATTTGATTAGCAGCTCCCACATTAACTTTGTGCTCAATCACTGTTATAAATATGAGGGGGTCCATGGAAATGTTTTTCCCCTGTAAGGGGTCCCTGGCTCCAAAATGTTTGAGAACCCCTGCTTTAGCAGGTATGTAAAAAAATGCTAACTTCCGGGTTGGCCGACAAAAATAGATCATCACTGCAACACTCTATAAAAATGATCGTTCCTATAAACGTGCATTAGCTACCTTTAGGAATCAGTCCATCATGTGTCTCCACAAGTATGGCAATCTCATTCGCTGTGTCCACAGGCAGTGAGGTGGGGGAATCTGCTTTGTCCACTAGGCTTGGCTGCTTTGGTCTAATGATCTCCGCAGGTCTTTTCACGCCAGTCTGGGCATCTCTGTCCTGTGATTGGCTGCTCTGGGTCTTACTGGCCTGCCTTGAGCTCCTCTCATTGGCTGTGTCACTCTGAGGAGACTAGTGAAGGAAGAGTGTGTTAAATGTTTTGTGCGTCCGTGAGTATTTAGGAAACAAGATGGAATTCTTGATATAGAAGGACAAATCACCTGTTGCTGACTCTTAGCACTTGCATTGCTTCTCCCTCTCGACAAGCCCTTATTCAGAAGATTCCATTCGCTGTTCTCTTCTTTCTGGGGACAATGACTGACATGTTAGCTGTGACCCAAAACTTAATAATATGCCAACCTAGGAAGTATCATGGTTTGTGATGAGTTTTGTCCTCCAAGATGGAGGACACAAGAAATGCTGATAAATATGCACCAATATTTAAATACTGATAATTATTCTCATGTTATGGTCAATAATGTTAAATAGTTGATATATCTTTTTACCTTCATGGTCCTCACAACTTTCTGATGCCTGTTGAGTTTTTTCAGCAGTATATGGTAGCAAGCTAAGATGGCCGACGGCTTGTTACTGATGACAGTGTGGATGACATCAGAAAGACCGTAACCTAGAGATTCAGTCATGTAGTTTAGCACAGCTGAATTTAGATCCTCGGGACGCAGCCTAAAGAAGCAACAAAGAACACACATATACACGTATCAGGAAATGTTAAATGTCTTTTTGTTGTGCATCTCTGTTCCTTTGGGTAACTTTAGCATTAGATTTCATTTAGCAGGTACCTGTTTTTATGAGTTACAGTATGGAGGGGTCTCTTGGCATAACCCTCATTCAACCATTTATCCTCCATTGCTGCTTTTATTGTTGGCCTTTTTGCTGGGTCTGGTTCCAGCAGAGACAAGACAAACTGTACAGCCGCTAGAAAGAAAAGAAGAGAGAGGACACTGACATCCTGACACTGCTAAAGTAGTCTCAAAACTCTGTTTTAACCTTACACAGAAGATCTCAACACTGATTTGTCAGAGGAGTGAGTGAATGTGTGTGTGTCCGACCCAGACTGAACTTCTCAAGGTTTCTCTTACAGAAGGGCAGATCAGATTCAAGAGGCACTTTGCCCCCCCGTGCCACCTTCTCAATCTGGGGGGACTCTTCAGATCAGAGTGGCAGTTTGGCACTGCGCTGGCCTTGTGTGTGTGAGGGTAGTGTTTGTGTCAGTAGACAGTGACGATCACATTTACTCATTCACTTAGAGTGCCATTACAGACTGGCTCAGGATGTCAACAAAACACACAAAATGGCATACCGTAAGCTTCAATCATAATTAATTTCCACCATACTTCAACAACAGTAATTTCTGTCAGGACCACTATCATCTAAGATGATTGACAAATAGCACACAGTTTGGATTGGTGGTATGGTTCTGTTCTGGGCAAGAACTCCCTGCCCAGCGATAACCCCCCTATAGGTTAAACAGAACAGAACCAATATGATTATATTGCAGATATCATTCATGTTTAATAATTTAATGTAAAACATAATTCAAGAAATTAGTCTGATTCGAAGGGTAATCTGAAGGCCAAAATCCTGACTGCCGAGAGGAGGAGCTGGGGATGGAGGAGGGTAATTCACTCCTGAGCAGCGCAATAGCTGCTGATAAAAATCTGCTGGTAATACTTTCAATTGTTAGCTTAAAGATCTATTTCTACCTGATTTAACACATAAAAAGGTGTTGGTATAAATTCAGAGATGTTAAATAATATTTTTTGACTTGAAGAAAACTATATAATATAGGTGTTACCATTTTTTTCAGTGTATGTTTATTTTATAATATTAATAATCATGCTAAATGATTTCCAGCATAACATTGAACACACTTTTTTGAGTTTTTGAAATGATTCAGCAGATGATATCTATGATACTTTAATGATTATAAAGTACTGCATCTGCAAAAGTATTGCATCTGTAACTTTCATTACTCTGATGATATTTTTCTTTTTAATAAACAATGAGTGGTTTAGAGAAACAGGATGCAATTCACCATACGTAATGTACAAACTACCTCACGATGATCTAATGTAACCTGCAACGGAATCGGGGAACCCAGCCGGGTTCTGTTCCACTAGCAGACATTTTACGTCATCATGTTTGTAGTGTATCTATTTTTGTGATTGGTTAATATACTCTGTTATTAATATTCATGAAGATTAATATTAATGTGCCGGATCAGATGATCTCACAATCTGATTGGGAAGAAGGACACTCCGAAACTCACTACTGCACTCAACACTTTTTCTCTTTTCTCTTTCTCTCTCTGTGTATCCTGTCCTGATAAAGAACTCCTTAGGGATGAATCTTTAACTGTATGCATGTGTGTGTGCATATACAGTACCGTTCACAAATTTGGGGTACAATTTAAAATAACTTTTTTTCGATTTTAATGTATTTTAAAATGCAATGCATCCTGTGATGACAACGCTGAATTTTCAGCATCATTACTCCAGTCTTCAGTGTCACACAATCCTTCAGAAATCATTCTAATATGCAGATTTGCCACTCAAGAAACATTTCTTATGTTGAAAACATTGTTCTGCTTAATATTTTTGTGGAAACAGTGATGCATTTTCCAGTATTATTTGATAAATAGAAAGATCAAAAGAACAGCATTTATTTTAAACAGAAATCTGGTGTGACATTATAATTGCCTTTACTGTCACTTTCGATCAATTTCATGCATCCTTACTGAATAAAAATATCAATGTCTTGAAAAACCACTCTTACTGACGCAAACATTTTGAATGGTAGTGTAATGGGGACAGTTTCCACACATAGTAAAACCTGAAATCACCTTCATTGTATGGACCAGCCAATAGTTTCAGGTTAGAGGATAGTAGAAGATAGTAAATGTCAATAAAAAAAGTGAATGGAAAGTCCCCACCATAATTCATAGTTTTGTTGGCAGAGGCCGCATTTTCACTAACTCTGCCCACCAATTGTCTGATTGAGCCAGACAAAATTACAAAAGAAATGTGACTGGTAACAGGAGCAGTAGCGTGGAGAGGTGGATGGTGCGCTAGCTTTTTTCATTTTCAATTACTGTAAATAGCATTGAATGCATTAGGTGTATAGAACATACTTTGTGTTGCTATTTCCACAGAGTGCAAAATGCAATAACCCCTGCCATACATTTTACCTTTGCTGATGTCCGACGGTATCACACTGATTTCTCCATTCACCATTTTCAGGTGAAGTTGCTTGATGTTGAAGGGCTCCACCGTAAACGGTAAAGTGCCGGTCAACATGGCAAACATACTCACACCCCTATGCATAAACACAGAAACACACAGTCGCATTAAAAAGACACCACGAATCAGCTGACATTATGTGATTGCCAGTTCTAGAAGACTCACACAGACCACACGTCCACTTTAGGGCCGTACTTCCTGTGGGCCAGCAGTTCGGGAGCGGCGTAAGCAGGGCTGCCACACTGAGTGTTCAGAAGCTCCAGAGAGAGAGAGTCTGCCTTCAGAGTGTTACTCAGACCAAAGTCTACACACAAACACACTCGCATGTTAGTGGACTTGCATGAATACACAACTGTCCACTGTTTCTGATACAGATACTGTGAATAGCAGACTGTTTAATAAACTAATTTTCTATTTGTTTTTTCTTCCTTAGATGTTTTTTTAATTAGACATTCAAGAATAAATCATACAGATTTCAGAAGCCTAAAATGAAATACATGAATAAAAGGATGAAAGAGACATTGGTTGATGCTATTACTTATGATATTTCTCATTGGTGAGTTATACGTTTTGCTAAATGACTAATTGTAAATGAGTTCTTCCTGTGTGCTTGCATTTGTGTGTACTACTCAAACCATATTCATGAGTCATTTCTTATTACAGTAAGAAAGCTTTGACAAAACTTTCCTCATATTAAATGTGTACATATACACACTATGTAAAATAGGCAAGAGGCAAGACACACTCACCAACTATCTTAATGTTGTTGTGCTCATCCAGTAGGAAGTTTTCAATCTTCAAGTCCCTAGTTAAAAAACAATATTCAGAGATGAAGGAGGTGAGTTAAAAAAGTAACTGCTGGGTGCAAAATTCTGATACCACACTTAAAAATCTGGGTATTTTTTTCCCTTTCAGATTTAAATCTGAAAATAACTGTTTAAGGATTGTGAACACTTACCAATGTTGCAAGAAGAAAAAAAGTTAAGATTTGGCACTATTTGTTGGTCACCGCTCAGGAAAACTGAGCAAAAACATTCTTGTTTTCATCAATGTAATTTTGGTATTAATTATATACAGTACTATTATAGTATTGCTTTTATTTTTATTATTTTTAAATTTTCATTTAAATTTTCATTTTGTTAGTTTTTTTTTTTTGTAAGTTTTTTAAGTTTATATTTTATTTTATTTCAGCTTTATTTTAAATACTGAAAACAATTTTTAATAGTTTTAGTTGATGATAATATAATGTAATACATTTGGGTGCAAAATAGAAGCATTTTTACTAGTGGTCTCAGACTTTGGGATCCCATATATATATATATATATATATATATATATATATATATATATATATATATACGTATATACTGTATATGTATACACATACATACATACATACAAACACACATGTCGGTCCAACTGATAGGAAACTCAGATCAACTCCCTCCATGATCAGCCTAGAACCTCTAGCAGAACACAAAATGTAATGAAAAATGTGAATTAAAAGGGGATTTGTACTAAAGACCTACTAGAGTTATTGTTGGTGATATCAAAGCTTGGTGGTCCTGGATGTTCAGTCATTCTGCCAAGTTTTACTTTTACACTCTCCGCTCTCTTTTTCCTTTTATCTTCCCTCTTTCTCCCTTTCTTTCCACTTCATAATAAACACTCACACTCACTTTGACGACCGCACGCTCCTCACATTTAATATGAAATTATATGAAAAGCCTATAAAAATATCACAGCCCTCAAAGCTATTTTCATTTCCCTCCATTTTTACTGACATGGCTGACATCTCAAAGCTCAATGGGGACGCACGCACGCACACACACACACACACACACACACACACACACACACACACACACACACACACACACACACACACACACACACACACACACACACACACACACACACACACACACACACAAAAGGCTGAAAGACTATGAAAATCTGCCAGTATTAAAGTTTTCTGACAGTGTATTAGGGGAAAGCAGTTTGACTGAGCTTTTCGGGGGTATTATTAGTGTACAGAGAGGTCAGCAGAGACAGGCTTAAATTCACACAGAGAGTGTTTGTGGAGCCAGTTGATAAAATAGTTTGATTTTGGGCTGATTAATCTCATTTGAAGTGGGTGAACTTTTGAACTGAAATGGACATGAACCCACATGCTCCTTTCGTTACCATGGGAACTGTATATGTTGACTAACGCGGCGGGTAGTCAAGTGTGTGTGTGTGTGTGTGTGTGTGTGTATGGCGTGTAGGTTGATGTACGTCCTTTGATCCTTGACATACTCTAAAAAAGGCTCTTTACTGAGTGGATTGTGTGTGACACAGACCTCAGCATTATGAAGCTTCATCCTGGGACTCCATTAGTAAGGAAGTCAGTGAATGATGTGTTAACCATAGTGGCTCTGGCTGATGATGTCATGAGAAGCTAATGACATTCCCACTCTTGCCTCAATTAGGCTTCACTGGCAGACCAAAGAACTGCACGCACACACATATACACATTTACTTACTTCAATCAGGACATTTAGACTATATATTATTTTTTTTTACTCTAACCCTACCCCTAAAACAACAAAATGTGTTTTTAAAATAAATGTATTCATTTTTTTATTTGATCATTTTAGATATATTTATACATTTTTGTATTGGAAATTAATAAAATTTTGAACTGAGATTTGTAATATAATTTGTATTATTAATCATTTATTGTGCTAATGATCTAATATAATTTATCAAATCCAAAATGCATCCACAAACTATAGCTAATTAAACCCGCACACATTCACATTTGATTTCACCTATTTTCAGACACACTTTTTATTAAAAAAAATATTGGTAGCACTTTATTTTACAGTCCTGTTCCCCATGTACATTCTATGTACTTATTATAGTAATTAGCTGGGTAATAAGTAGGTACTAACCCTGAACCTACCCCTAAACCTAACCTTAACCATGTAGTTAGTTACCTTATATTAACCAGTACTTTCTTATTTAAGATCACGTACTGTAAAATAAAGTGCAACCAAAAAACTATACAAGACTCTAAGGCCCGGTTTCACAGACAGGGCTAAGATTAAGCCAGGATTAGGCCTTAGTTCTTTTAAGGCATTTAGCTGTTATAAACGTGCCTTAGAAAAAAACATTACTGGTGTGCATCTTGAGACAAAACAATGGCACTGACATATTTTAAGATAATCAGTGCAAGTTACTTTCAGTTAAAACAGCTCAAACATGATTTTTAGTCTGGGAACTAGGCTTAAGCCTTGTTTGTGAAACCGGGGGTAAAATTAAAAGTATTTACAAATTTCTTTCTTTTTTTTTAAATTGATAATGTATCCTCAGACTATAACCTGTCATAGATCACTCATCAGTGTCTCGCTCTGGTCATCGAAGAACTCCCTCTCCTGAATATTGAACTACATATCCCATCTGTCTCGTTGTCTGTCTGAATCTCTCTCCTAATCACCTGCACAGGTGCAGCCACTTCTCCCCCCTATGTAAGCTGCTCTCTCTCTATGCTCAGTGCGAGGTCTTACATCTGCCACGTTAAATCTCTTCTGTGTATTCTACGTTCCCTGGATTTCCCTGGTTTCTCGACTCTAGCCTGTCTCCCTGGTCTCCGTGTGTCTGCTGCCTGCCCCGACCCCTGCCTGGTATCGTTTCTGAGTTTGGACTGCCCTTTTCCCCTGTTATTCACTGAGTTTGCTCTGTGTGCTTCTCTGTTAAATAAAATCACTGCAAATGGATCTGCACGACTCTGCCTCTTCCTCACAGAAGACCTCGCCACAACAGGATCCAGCAGTCTTGCAACAACTAACTTCTGATGTCTCCAATCAAGCGTCTGTTCTGATCGTTCATCAACAACAGCTGGAGAAACTAACCACACTTACCGAGGAGTTGGTGAAATCCATGCGGGCCCTCACGACACAAACCGCCGATCCTGTTCAACCCGCGGCACCTCCAGTTCAGCCATCACCCATCGTGAGTACTCCATCAAATAATCCACGTTTGTCTTCTATCTTCACCAACTGGAAGAGCTCTGGAATGGGTCACCGCGCTCTGGACAGGAGGTAATCTCACTTTTCCCTCCTATGATCATTTTCTCGTCCAATTTAGAGAGGTTTTTGAGCACCCTGCCAGTGGGAAGGAACCGGGCGAGTTGCTTCTGTCGATACGTCAGGGGGGATCATCCGCGGCGGATTACTCTCTAACCTTCCGCACTCTCGCCGCGCAAACAGGCTGGGGCGACGATCCTTTGAAATTACTGTACCGTCAAGGTCTCAACCCTGATCTGCAAGGGGAACTGGCATGCCGGGATGAGGACAGAACCCTCAGTCAGCTGATGGAGGTAACCATTCGCCTGGATAATTTGATGCGAGCCCGACGAGCACCCCTTAAGCACCGAGTAACTGCATATCCCTCCGCGGGTCTAGAATCTGAACCTATGCAGATTGGTTTCACTCGTCTCACCCCCGAAGAGAGAGAGAGACGAGTACGCAATCGTCTGTGCTTGTACTGTGCCCAATCCGGCCACAGGAGGGCGACCTGCCCCAACCGACCCATTGATCGGGACCCCACTGCGGTGAGTTTCAGTTCTCATATCTCTAAGTCTCTTGTATTAGCCGTCACTCTTCACTTTAACGATAAGATCATTGAAACGTGTGCTTTAATTGACTCAGGAGCTGCAGGGAATTTTATTGATTTGAGCTTTGCTAAAAATAACAAACTCTCTCTCGTTCCATGTGATTCCCGGGTGGCAGTGGCGGCGATAGACGGACGTCCATTGGGTTCTGGCAAGGTTCAGTTCATCACTCAAGAAGTCACGTTGATCACGGACGTTCTGCACACAGAGAACATTCACTTCTTCACCATTGACTCACCTCACCATCCCCTCATACTGGGCCTTCCCTGGTTAGAACAACACAACCCGTCCATCTCGTGGTCCGACAAGCAGATTACTCAGTGGTCCGAAGCCTTTCTGAAGAGATGCCTTAACACTCCTATCAGTAACACTCCACGAAGCTCCCAATCTGAAAATCCTGATCTCCAAGGGGTACCCGCTGTGTATCATGATCTCTCCCTGGCTTTCAGCGAGGACAAGGCATCCCAACTACCTCCTCACAGATCCAGTGACTGCGTCATTGATTTAATCCCAGGTGCCACCCTCCCGCGGGGAAGAGTATACCCTTTATCTCAGCCAGAGTCCGACGCCATGAGATCTTATATTGATGAGCAGCTCTCCAAGGGCTTTATCACTACCTCCACTTCTCCGGCTTCGGCCGGTTTCTTTTTCGTGAAGAAGGATGGTGGGCTTCGACCCTGCATAGATTATCGCGGTCTCAACGAAATCACGGTCAAGTTTCGCTATCCTCTGCCCCTGGTTCCGGCCGCCCTGGAACAACTCCGCACCGCCAAATTCTTCACAAAGCTAGACTTGCGCATTGCGTACAATCTGATCCGTATAAGAAGAGGTGATGAGTGGAAAACCGCTTTCTCGACAACGACGGGGCACTATGAGTACCGGGTCATGCCGTTCGGCCTTTCCAACAGTCCGTCAGTGTTCCAGGCCTTTGTAAATGAGATTTTCCGCGACATGCTCAACCAGAAGGTAATCGTATACATCGATGACATCTTGATCTTCTCTGACACTCTGGAATCTCATGTACGGGATGTGCGAGCAGTTCTCCAACGTCTCATCAAGAACCGTCTGTATGCCAAGGTGCATAAATGTGAATTTCATCAAACTCAGATCACCTTTTTGGGGTACATCATCAGTGCGGAGGGAGTTACCATGGATGACAGCAAGGTCTGATCTGTAGTTAACTGGCCACAACCCACCACCGTTAAAGAGATGCAACGTTTTCTGGGCTTTGCCAATTTCTACAGGCGGTTCATCCGAAATTTCAGCATCACCGCAGCCCCACTCACATCTCTCCTAAGAGGACGGGGACATCGGTTGAGATGGTCACCTGAGAGTTTATCTGCCTTCAATCAGCTAAAGGAGAAATTCACCACCGCTCCTATCCTTCACCATCCTGATTCCGAGCGTGAGTTCTTTGTGGAAGTGGACGCCTCCAGCACGGGCATCGGTGCCATTCTGTCTCAGCGGCATGGAGACCCTGCTAAGATGTTTCCCTGTGCCTATTATTCCCGTAAGCTCTCCTCTGCTGAACGAAATTACGACGTGGGCGACAGGGAACTTCTGGCCATGAAGGCAGCACTAGAAGAGTGGCGACACTGGCTAGAGGGAGCTCGTCTGCCGTTCACCGTGCTCACGGACCATCGTAATCTGGAATACATCAGATCAGACAAACGTTTAAATTCCAGACAAGCCAGATGGTCCCTCTTTTTCTCCAGGTTTGATTTCAAGATAACCTACCGTCCTGGCTCTAAGAATGGTAAAGCAGACGCCCTGTCCCGCCAGTTCGATAACTCACCTGTTCCTCCAACATCCGGGCCCATCCTACCTTCGTCTCTCATTGTCGCCCCTGTTCAGTGGGACATAATGACCGAGATCTCCGCTGCTCTGAGGGAGAGTCCACCGCCTGTCGAGTGTCCTTCCAACCTCACCTTTGTACCACAATGCCTCCGCACCCGAGTGTTACAATGGGTACATAACATTCCCAGTTCTGGACACCCAGGGATTTCTGCGACCACACATCTAGTCTCCAACCGCTTTTGGTGGCCTTCGCTCCAGGCTGATGTGATTTCCTTCGTTCGGCAATACTCCACATGTAATATCGTCAAATCCTCTCATCTGAAGCCAGCTGGTCTTCTTCAGCCCCTGCCCATACCACAGCGACCATGGTCCCACATCGCGGTCGACTTCGTTACTGATCTGCCTCCCAGCCAGGGTTACACCACCATTCTCTCAGTGGTCGACCGTTTTTTGAAAGCCTGCAGGTTTATTCCCTTGGTCGGGTTACCCACAGCGTTACAGACAGCTGAGGCCCTGCTACAACATGTCTTTCGCTTGTACGGTTTACCAGAGGACATCATCTCAGACAGTGGTCCCCAATTTACCTCCCGGGTTTGGCGGTCATTGTGTGAACAACTCAACATCAACGTCAGTTTGACTTCTGGCTATCATCCCCAGGCCAACGGACAGGTGGAGAGGTTGAATCAGGAGCTCACACGCTTTCTACGCACCTACTGCCACCAAAACCAGCAGGACTGGAGTCGCTTCCTCGTCTGGGCTGAGTACGCCCAGAATTCCCTGCGCAAGCCCTCGACTGGTCTTACTCCTTTCCAGTGTGTGTTAGGTTTCCAGCCTCCATTATTTCCCTGGTCAGGTGACCCCTCTGATCTGCCCACAGTTGACGCCTGGTTACAGAGGAGCGAGGAGACGTGGAACAACGCTCATGTCCACCTTCAGCGGGCCGTGCGCAGAGTCAAGGTACAGGCTGATCGTCACAGGAGAGGGGGTCCGAGGTACACGCCCGGTCAATGGGTCTGGCTGTCGACAAGAGATTTACGTCTCCGGCTTCCCAGTAAAAAGTTAAGCCCCAGATTCGTGGGTCCCTTCAAGATCCTCAGACAGATTACTCCAGTGTCTTTCCGGTTAGCCTTACCATCTTCTTACCGCATTTCCCCTACCTTTCACATGTCTTTGCTTAAACCTGCAGTTGCTCCGAGGAGAGAGGAGAGCCAGGAGGAGACCACGGCGGAGAGTTCTCCTCCCATCATCATGGAGGACGAGGGGGTTTACCAGGTGAAGGAGATTCTCGATTCCAGACGCAGAGGCAGGGTGTTGCAGTATCTCATTGACTGGGAGGGGTTTGGTCCTGAGGAGAGATCCTGGGTAACTTCTCAGGACATCCTGGATCCAGTTCTCATCACCACTTTCCATCTGAACCATCCAGAGAGGCCAGCCCCTAGACCCCGTGGGAGACCCCGTCGGAGCACTGGTCCTCGCTTCGGGAGCCGCTCGCAGGAGGGGGGCTCTGTCATAGATCACTCATCAGTGTCTCGCTCTGGTCATCGAAGAACTCGCTCTGGTCCCGTTGTCTGTCTGAATCTCTCTCCTAATCACCTGCACAGGTGCAGCCACTTCTCCCTCCTATGTAAGCTGCTCTCTCTCTATGCTCAGTGCGAGGTCTTACATTTGCCACGTTAAATCTCTTCTGTGTATTCTACGTTCCCTGGATTTCCCTGGTTTCTCGACTCTAGCCTGTCTCCCTGGTCTCCGTGTGTCTGCTGCCTGCCCCGACCCCTGCCTGGTATCGTTTCTGAGTTTGGACTGCCCTTTTCCCCTGTTATTCACTGAGTTTGCTCTGTGTGCTTCTCTGTTAAATAAAATCACTGCAAATGGATCTGCACGACTCTGCCTCTTCCTCACATAACCAAGCACACCGACAAACGCATACGCTTGCTCTTTGATTTCATCCATTTTCAAACACTTCTCTCATCTATGACACACAGCACTTCATTATTTTAGACTAGAATCCGCTATACAGCATAGCACCCTCTCAGCGTTTTCCTTTCTTTTTCTTTCTCATTCCACCCCCTAACACTCCATATGACACTTCATTTTGGGGGTGTAATTTTGTCATTTAACATGTCCTGTCAGTATCTGTGTGTGTGTGTGTGTGTGTGCTGATTACCTGTGAACTATCCCGTGTCGGTGCAGGTGTTCCACTGCAGACAGTATCTGGCGGGTGTACCTGCGGACCTCTCTCTCCTCCAACCGCTTGCGTTCACAGATTCGGTCCATAAGGTCTCCTCCTCCGCACAGCTCCATGGCCATGTAGTAGCAGTTCTCCGTCTCCAACGTCTCCAGCAGCAAGACGATGTTGGGGTGGCGGATCAGCTGGTGAATCCGGGGTTCACGCTTCATGTTTTTTAAAACGTATGAATCCTGACGAGCCTTCTTCTTATCTATCACTTTGATCGCCACCTGCAGAAACAGAGAGCATTTTCTAAGGTTTTTCTAGTAAAATTATTAGAAGAAATAATAATGTAAGAGGACAGTTTAGTCTTAGAAGTATTTAAGATATCTTGTAAGAAATTGTATGGAAGAAATCTTTCATTTAACTTCACAGCTGTTTCTCCTTAAATTCCTGGAGGGGGGGGGGGGGGGGATCTCACTTGATTTTTATTTTCTATAAGACAATATTGTGTAAAGAAAACTTCTATATATAAAACTGGTTTAGGTGAGTTTCCCAACGCCGACCATACCACGCCACGGTATACACTATAGCTCACAGTCCCTCTCTTTAAGAACTCCATGATAATAATTTACATTCTAAAATCCTAGGATTGTGCTTGGGGTGATGTATGCTTACGCATCACCACAGCAACCTGTTCAGGTAAACAGAGTGGTCAGGAAGGGCTCAGTGATGTGAATAAGAGCTGGTAACATTCACACGCACACAGGCCACATTTACTGACCCGTGAAAGCTCAGGTCACCACAGTGAGGAGAGGAGGACAGGTTGAGCTAAAACTCACTCTCTCTCTCTCTCTGTTTGTCTGTGTCATGATGAACCCAGAAGTTTTCGAATTACCAAAAACGTACTCATTATTGATATACTGGCAATATTGTGTATTTATTTATAAATAAATAATCTAATTTATTTGTAAACCTACATTACATTCATACGCATACACATTCACATGAAAAAGAGATTTTTCACTCAAGTTCTATTAAAGCTGATGTGAAATGTTTTACAACACAAAAATTGTCAAATAAAATTTCAAATCATTAAAACAATGATGATCTAAAGTACCACTATATCATTACCATCTATTATACGTCTGCAGACAAAATACAGGTAACATCTTACAGTAGGCTTACTAATAATGAATTCTTCTAAAGCATTTATTAACCTTAGTTCATGTTAATTTCAACATTTACTAAGACATTATTGACATCAAAAGTTGTATCTGATAATATTATTTAATGGACCTGAGTTATCATGAACAAACAATGAAAGTATTTTTATTAACTAATGTTATCGAAGATTAATAAACAAATGTATTGTTCCTTGTTAGTGAATGTTAGTTAATGCATTAACTAATGGGACCTTACTGTAAAAATGTAACCAAACTACACACTAGTTAGCATGCATAAAAATCACTAGCCAACACACAATTCATGGTCATCCCACTAAACATAAAGTGCCATTAAATGTTTCTATCAGTGTAAGTGTGTTTGTGTGGATGGATTATTACTGCGGTGCGTGTCAGAGATTAGGAAAGACGGAGTCGCTATGAAAGCTGAGACAGAGAGACAGCATGAAAAATGGATGACAACCCTTCAGCGCACTGATGACTGACACCATTAGTGTGTGACACTGTGCCTTTGATTGACAGGCGTCTGCGTGTAAGAGACTGGGTGTGTGCCTGTTACCTTCTCTCCTGTACTGATGTGCATCCCCAGCATAACTTTGGCGAACGAGCCCTTGTTGATCATTTTGCCCACCAGGTAGCTGCCCACACGCTTAGTGTGAGGAAAGTTTTGGAGCAGGTCGCGGGGCACTTTTCCAAGACAGGGAGGTGCCGCCTGCTCCAGCTCCCCTGAATCTGTCATGCTCCCATCCAGAGATGACTTCAATGCAGCCGGCATGATGCCAGTGATGCCCGTCTGCTAGCAGATCCACAGGGTGACACCGAGCGGACAGGTGGAGGATGGAGGAAAACCGGTTGGCAAGGGAGGAAGGGCATGAGTGATGGAGGCTGGTCTCACTGGTTCTTCTTTAGCTGTTGGTCTGTCCTGTCAAGAAGGAGAATATCCACTCTTCGCTCCTCTCATGTGTTTTTTCTTTAGTCCTGATACTGATCCATAATCACATGTCCAGTGTTGGGACCAGGTGCCTGTCTTTTACTCGTCTCTAGCCTCAGATCTACCTCTCTTTATCTGTTTTTTTCATCTAGACTGTCTCTTTTCGGTCCAACGGAAGGTTCTTCTGTCAGTCTGGTTAGTTCATGCACTCTTGTCTTTGTGTGTGTATGTGTGTGTGTGCGCGCGCCTGGTAGATAATTAACTGTATCTGGTCTCAGGTTGATGCTGTGAGCCTAGCGTAGTGAGAGGACACACTACACCATAATGACCCCCCACCTACACGCACGCAGAAGAACGCAACCTGAAAAACACAGCTCCCAAAAATGACATTGCAAAGTTTTAATGTATATCATAAGTGCATAAGTGGGATTGAAACTTTGAGTTCTATTTACTTCTAATTAGTTCCTACATATTTCTACTAGCTTTATGTATTTTTAAAATTTATTTTTGTAATGTATAACTTAAGTCAGTTTGTGAAATATAATATAGCATAACATAATATAATATGATATAATATATATTTTTCTAAATGCCAAAAAATCCAAACATCCATATATATATATATATATATATATATATATATATACACACACACATGCAAGTTTGAATAATATAATATATTTGTATATAGGAATATGTTTTTATATTTATATATTTGAATATATAAGTTTGAATATATTTTTGAAAAAATGTACTGTATAGGCTATACTGTATGTATATATATATATATATATATATATATATATATATATATATATATATATATATATATATATATATGTTTTTAAAGTCTTTAGTGTTATATTTCTATTAATATGTAAATGTATATGTACACTCACCGGCCACTTTATTAGGTACCCCATGCTAGTAACGGGTTGGACCCCCTTTTGCCTTCAGAACTGCCTCAATTCTTCGTGGCATAGATTCAACAAGGTGCTGGAAGCATTCCTCAGGGAGTTTGGTCCATATTGACATGATGGCATCACACAGTTGCCGCAGATTTGTCGGCTGCACATCCATGATGCGAATCTCCCGTTCCACCACATCCCAAAGATGCTCTATTGGGTTGAGATCTGGTGACTGTGGAGGCCATTTTAGTACAGTGAACTCATTGTCATGTTCAAGAAACCAATTTGAAATGATTAGAGCTTTGTGACATGGTGGAAGTAGCCATCAGAGGATGGGTACATGGTGGCCATAAAGGGATGGACATGGTCAGAAACAATGCTCAGGTAGGCCGTGGCATTTAAACGATGCCCAATTGGCACTAAGGGGCCTAAAGTGTGCCAGGAAAACATCCCCCACACCATTACACCACCACCACCAGCCTGCACAGTGGTAACAAGGCATGATGGTTCCATGTTCTCATTCTGTTTACGCCAAATTCTGACTCTAACATCTGACTGTCTCAACAGAAATCGAGACTCATCAGACCAGGCAACATTTTTCCAGTCTTCAACTGTTCAATTTTGGTGAGCTCTTGCAAATTGTAGCCTCTTTTTCCTATTTGTAGTGGAGATGAGTGGTACCCGGTGGAGTCTTCTGCTGTTGTAGCCCATCCGCCTCAAGGTTGTGCGTGTTGTGGCTTCACAAATGCTTTGCTGCATACCTCGGTTGTAACGAGTGGTTATTTCAGTCACTGTTGCCCTTCTATCAGCTCGAACCAGTCTGGCCATTCTCCTCTGACCTCTGGCATCAACAAGGCATTTCCGCCCACAGAACTGCCGCTCACTGGATGTTTTTTCTTTTTCGGACCATTCTCTGTAAACCCTAGAGATGGTTGTGCGTGAAAATCCCAGTAGATTAGCAGTTTCTGAAATACTCAGACCAGCCCTTCTGGCACCAACAATCATGCCACGTTCAAAGTCACTCAAATCACCTTTCTTCCCCATACTGATGCTCGGTTTGAACTGCAGGAGATTGTCTTGACCATGTCTACATGCCTAAATGCACTGAGTTGCCGCCATGTGATTGGCTGCTTAGAAATTAAGTGTTAACGAGCAGTTGGACAGGTGTACCTAATAAAGTGGCCGGTGAGTGTATATTAATATGTAAATATAAAAAAAACTTTAAGCCAACATCTTTTCTAATTTAATATTATCTTCAATTTGTTGGAGATAATATTGTCAAATAATTTTTATAAATTGCTCCAATAATGTTCTTTTTGTATGTGTCTGTCTCTCTAAGGTCCAGTATATTTCTTGTACATTCAGTAAACCAGTACATTCAGTATTAACAACTGAGATTAATATCCTCCACTACATCAGAAATTAAATTATGAAGGAAATATCACCCCATTAATTACACAGTTTCATATTCCCGCCAAATAATCTTTGGCTATTACAGTAATTTAAAAACCAACATCTTCTAATAAACAAGCTTCTAGAATGAGGTGGACAGATTTCATTGGCTAAAATGACATGCTGTAATGAAGGCCTTGTCAATATGGCTATCATTTGAGATACTATTATGACAATGAGGACATAACAGCCACATTGATATTAATACCATAAGATGATTTTAGAAAGTGAAGTACACATCTGGTTTTGGCCTTGGACCAGAGTGTGTTAGTAGGGGTCTGTGTGCTTGAATGAGAGGCCATTGTTGGATAAGTGTGTGGTTGGGGTCAGGTTTCTTTATTTCTTATTCGCTCACTCAATTCATCCACCGGAGAGGGACGAACTGAGCAGCAAGGGGCTGGAATCTGAGACCACCATACTGTACAAACACACACACGGTCATATATACACTGCATATATGGTAAATATCTCTCATTCATATCTAAAAAATAAAGAGAGACCCTATATGGCAAAGCTGTGTGTGTGTGTGTGTGTGTGTGTGTGTGTGTGTGTGTGTGTGTGTGTGTGTGTGTGTGTGTGTGTGTGCCTCAACAGTTTTATAACCATAGTTCAAAGCAGGCCATGACAAAGAGAGCCAGAATGTGCAAACACAGACGCACAGAACAGAACGTTTTGATTTCACCCCCAAAAAATGTGTTCCAGCCTCGAGGCTTTGGCAAAACACTGCGCGGTCAAATTAATAGTGCTGAAAACCTCTGTCCATTTCCTGCTCTGTAAGAAACCAATCCCCAGCAATCCATTAAAGCATATTTTAACACTAAATAACTTTTTAAAACCCTTCTGGAGCATCTCCGCGCCTATGTGCAAGCATGCTAATCTTCACGAGGAAGTCTCATAACAGCATATCAGCAGAATCATCACCCTGCAAAATGTACTATTAAGGAAAAAACAACCAAGTAAACAACATAAATTAAAGCATACTGTAGCTGGTGGTTCAAACAAAGCAGATATTTGTGCAGTCTGCAGGCTCTCTTTTAAAGGGGTAGTTCACCCAAAAACTACATTTCATCATTTACTCATCCCTATGTCACTTTAAACTTGTATAACTTTATTCTGCAGAACACAAAAACTTTAGCAATTAAACAACATTGGAGTCCATTGACTTCCACTGAATTCTATAGGGGGAGGCTGCAGACCTGGAGCCGGCAGATATACGCCCCTGGCAGTTTTACGCCCCGGCAGTTTTAGGACCCTGTTGTTTCTGATGCGTCCAGTAGAGGGATATACTGCGAAATAACATCATTAAATCGACGCTTACACATTAATATCCCGTCCATAGACTTGGCAATTTTGTGTTTTTTGTTAATTTAAATATAAACGTTACAGTGTAGATCTCCACGGATTAAATTTTCTGTAGATATTCAGTTGGGCTTCACTCTCTTCACTCAACCTACAGAAGACTATTTGTTTTTGTGAATTGAAAAATTAAAAATACACATAGTTGGATCAACTATGTGTTATGACAGGTGATGCTATGACCTACTGCAGTTATAGGCCAATTCACCGTAGGTTTTTAAATGAGACTGAGTGAAATATGTTTTTGTGAATTTATATAAAGTCACATTTAGATATTAACTATATTTAGCCCATTAGACATGCAGTACCGTGTAATAATATGGATCCTCGATGAAATATCTGCTGTACTATTCTATTGGTCATCATACAGCTACAAAACAGTGTCCTACACAGCATTTTATGAAGACAAACACAATTTATCCCTTTTCTAAAATTCCATGGGCCATTTAGAAGATATAGACAATATTGTTGTTCACAAAAAAATATTTATTAACACCATTTATGAATTATGATGACTCCCCTATGGTTTGCCTCTCTTCTTTAACTGTTTTTTTTTCTTTAACTGCTCCTGCTCACTGATGAAACATTTAAAAATTAAACATTAAAAAAGTTAAAAAGGACATCCATGGTGAATTTGACCTTGTCCCTGTGTGTGTGTGTGTGTTCTCTTTAACTTGGATCTCATAAAGGTGTGTTTGCTTTAGCTGCTTAAGGAAATACTTGGTAAAGACAGAGTATGATAAAACCCACATTAAGTGCACATACCCTACATTTGAGTCCAGATCAGTAAGCTATTTTAAGAAAAAATGTATATTAAGATATAAATGAGATAATTAGATCATCTCATTTATAAGAAACAACTCAAACCAGAATCTATATTCAAATCATATGGGGAAAGTTTTTAATGTGTTTTAACGTATTTGAGTGAGTGTGCAGTTTAACTCTTTACTTAGAGAGAGAGAGAGAGAGAGAGATTTACATACCTATTATAAATGTGTCTTTTGTGTGTTCACACCATAGACTGTAAAAAAAAAAATCACATATTTCCATTATCTACTGTAATATTGCTCTATAAACCATGTGGAGTATGTTTTAATGCAATGAGTAAACAGAGTCTTACCAGAAGAGGCCAAGCTAAAGACAGGCAACAAAAGAAAATTAAAATTAAAATGAATTTTAAATTGAGTAGAGAAGATAGGGGAAGCTAAACCTACACGTGGTTAGTTAAGTTTAAGCCAGATAGAACAGAAACCTGTCAAAATACATTATAGACCCATCCATTGATATATAAATGAATTGATATCTACCTACCCTAGCTCTATCGAGCTAATCGTTTATAAATAATAAATGTTGCATCATTGCTAAAAAACAATAACTTTAGCAGATTATTTAACATACAAATGACAGAATCTATTTTTGTCAGATTTTAATTCTAACGATGTTAAACTTGATTATACGGTATTATTACTTTGTCTTCTGGGCAAGTTTCATCTTCATAAAGACAGAACCATTCAAAGTAATCCTGATTCTAGAATATTCTCCTCTGATATAAAGTTCATTTTTTTCTTCCTTTAAGAAAATGTCAGAACCTTTAAACTCAAAGGTTTATAA